GCACATGCATGTGCATACCTCGGAAAAACCCTACGAATGCAAGGTAATTTTCTCAGAAATGTCGGGTCTATTCCAGTTAGGGGGGCATCATGATGCAGTTTCTCGGCGAACCAAGTGACTGCCCTCCCCCCACCCCTAGACTGGCTACACTCCCCCTGGCTCGGAGTTACCCTAGCTTTCTGGAAAAAACTGCATCATGATGCCCCCCTAACTGGAATAGACCCGAGATTTCTGTGAAAATTACCTTGCATTCGTAGGGTTTTTCCGAGGTATGCACATGCATGTGCTTTTTTCGATCCGACGAGTTGGCGAATGTCTTGTCACAGCCGGCATGTGGACACGGAAATGGCTTCTCCTCTGAAAAGAGTAGAGCCTTACTAGTAACGTGCTAGCCAGGGCCTGGTCTGGAGTTCTGGACAGGCTGCGCCAATGGCAATTTGGCGCATTTTTCTCGCTTCCACACAATGGTGCCAATAGACCCACTTTTGTCGCCTATCTACCGTAATTACATACTCATAGTGGAAAGTATTGCCTTAGGAACTCATCGCTAGAACATTAGTTATGTGAGGTTATCAAAGTACACCATCTGTTGTTCTACTTACTAGTAAGTAAACCGATCGCCACAGTAATAGAGCCTCATAAACAAGTCATTAGCATAGTTGAGTCGCTGAAAAATGATGTGAAATCTGGATCAATCGTCGTCAGCAGATGGTGGAGGCTGATAGTCGCTGGAGGAGCGGATGGTCGATTTGAATGTGAAACGAATCTTTTCATGTGAAAATTCAGACACACTATCGTCTCAGATGAGGGCGAATTTCAATGAATAACGTCGCGTTTCGAATCGAGGCCAGGCGTACCAGATCTTGGCCCGAAAAGTCGAAATTTGGCCCGAGTCAAGACAGTCACCACCACAGGTGTGTGCAATCGTAGGTTTTTGCGTATGATTATGTTTAGCCGGTACAAATCGTTCGGTAATTGACATGTCATTCCGCAATCGGCTAATTATCACACCTTTTTCGCAGGACAGGTGTACACGAGATAGAGCCGAGTGCTAAATGAGATTTGGGACGGAGCAGCAGCTCATGAGCGCAGAGATATTGGATGAGATATTGCGTGATTGAACATTATGTCCATGATGACCTGATCAGGTGATTCCAGAGAGTGGCGCGTGTGGTGGCTCGAGGTGGCCTTTAGGGCCAGTTGACGCGTACACACTTGTGAATTCATAATCAGCTGCCACACTGCCAGCGTACCGTATATAGACGTACGTATGCCATAAATCAATGCCTGTTTCACCTTTCTCTATGGGGCCAGTCATAGCGAGATTTGCTTAACAATAGAAGACCATAAATAACGCAAAATGGCAGTGAAATCGATTTGAGATGCAAATATCGAATTGAACTTCTCCGAGCCAAACTGGTAGAAATGGTGTCAAAAAGATGTCGCCAGTATGAAACGTTGACGTTAATTCGAATAGAGTTCGGCTCTACGAGGCAAGTTTGGCGCCACTTCCAAAAATGCCCGCATTTTTTAAATTAACACAATAGAAAGATGACGTTAGATCCGCGCCAAGTTTGGCGCCATTTTAGAAAATGCCCGCACTTTTTAAATTATGATAGAAATATGACGTCACAGTCGAGTCAAGTTTGGCGCCATTTTGAAAAAGCCCGCACTTTTTAAATTAGGACAAAAATATGACGTTACATCCGAGTCAAGTTTGGCGCGCTTTTCAAATTAACGTAGAAATCGAAATAAACTAAATAGACCTCAACAGCTTACTTGTATGCGTCCTCACGTGAATTTTGAGATTTTCACTTCGTGCAAATTCCCGATTACATTGCTTCGCAACGAAACGGTTTTTCTCCGGTGTGAACACGTATGTGATTAACCAGCTTGTATTTGGCCTGGAATGAACGGTCCATAGATTAATCCTTCAGTGAGTACGAATGAAGTACGTACTTTGAACGGTTTCCCAACTCGATCACAATTCCTCCATAAACAGACATGGGTTGTCATTTCAATGAGACCGATGTGATGTTGAGAGACGTGGGCCGCTACCTGGGACGAAGTGGCGAACATCATTCCACACTCTTTACCAGTCTGAAAAATCGGGAGGGTTAAAAAACGGGCCAAGGGCTGGGACAACAGTAACAGCTGGAAACTTACCTCATTGATCCACTCGCAACGAATCAATGTTGACGATGATTTTTGTGGAAATTGAAAATGAATTGGGGCCTGGCTAAAAAAATTGTTACTGGTTATTGATGTGGAATGAGCAGCAAAGAGCTTCAGGCTTACCGATAGGCAGCGAAATAGTCAGGATGGGTGTTTTGTTGAGGAAAGAACGGCGATCTTGAGCCAAAACTCGCACTTTCCAAGTAAAAATCCGGTAATGGACCACATGAGTACGGTTGTATGGACGGATCTTCAATAGGACATGCATAGAAACAATAAAATAGTATTACAAGTACTGAAGAGCGATAGAAAACGATAGTACTGAACACTCACCACTCCGTAGCATCATACCCTGCTGTGGGTAACATTCAGCCGGTGTCGGTTCACGTCCGAAACGTTGTGGACAATATCCACTGAACATTTCTATACTCACGTTATAAGCCGAAATAACAGATTTCGAAATACAGTAACCCGTAAGCGAAATTCTACCGTGCTGCACGGGTATTACCTCACAGTGGGTTGCACGGCTTGAGGCCACTCCAAGCTCCGCCCCCCTTGACTGTTTCTCTTTCGCCATAGGCAGAAATGGGTGTGGCCACGTGCGATGATTGGTCGGCTGGATATCGTCGAAGCGGCCCCACGGAGTGAGGTACAATTCGCAAGACTCACCAGGGGTCGAGGCTGGCCCTATTTAAACTAACTCCTGACAGCCGTCACAGTTTTGACACTTGTAACAGCTAGTATTACTCTAGTTACTTTTTATAGGTTATAGCGTTTTACTGGTATCGCGCGGAGGTTTTGCTACTGCAAGAAAAGTAGTTTTTGATCCTGATTCAATAAATGATAAACTTACGGTATCCAGAAGCGTACAAAGCTCGGTGTCATGTAGTAATTCATGTCCCTGACCCTGAAATTTAGCTCTTAAGGGACAAAATCTTCAAGTGCTAGTTATCAAGCTGTGTTATCTCCCTATTGCTATTTTCCAAAATAAGTTTCCTCAAAATAGAACTAGTAATGCTCACTCCGAGTAACCTAATCGATACAACTTTATACTCTACTTTCCGCATCACCTTTTCATAGTAAAGCCACTTCTGTTCAAATTAAGCCCCCTTCTATCGACATTTTTTGTCTCCAATATTTCTCAAATTTAGTTTTTCGACGTAAGCCCCGACTTGAGCGAAAATTACAGAGTCAATTTACACTTATGAGTAATTTTATACCTTTTACCT